ATATGACTTTATATTTTAGTAAACATGAGTCATATTTAGCCCGTTATTCCATTCTGACCGTATGGTGGCGAAACGTAGCCTATTTCATTGTTCTGACAGCATTAGAGCAGAACTAATGACTTAATTATAAACGCAAAGGAAATTTCCATAACATTTTCTATTTACAAATGCGGTATGCTTTGTAACCAGGCCAGGGACCACTTTTTTGAAATCAGGGACCATTTTACCGAAATCTGCTAGGCTCTCTCGCTGAAGCGTTCCGCACAGCACACCCAGGCATAAAACTTTTAAGACTTATTTAAATATATCAAAGCAGCGAATAGAGAGAGAGCCTGGGACTAGGCTGCCACCGTTCTATTATATGTTATGCATGCATGCATGTTTGTTGTAATTGCATGGTATAGCAATAATTTTAGGTGGTGCAAAATGAATATTTGAACTTAACCTCAATTCGGTATACATTGCATGTATTTGACCGCAATTCGGAAAAGGCCTATTCACAGGCAATATAGCTAAAGATTGGATCTTCCTGCAGAGTTGTAAATGTTTCTATAGCAAAAGTCGATATTTCTCTCATCATGCATGTTGCATGAAAAATCTTTTAGTGCGTATCATACTTTTTTGTTCACGAAAACCTGATAATCTCCATAATGAGAGCAACGCCACTATGCTGTTCCTTATTATTATATCGCTTATTCTCTTATATTTCTAGGGGTAAACGCAATGGCTGCAGTGAACGTGTCAGGAAAAATTCAAATAACAAGCAGATGATAATTAGTATATATTGGCGTTATTGTTCATGCGCTTTAAAATTAACATAATACTTTATGGTAAATAAATCTTAATTCCTGTCAGTGTTTGCTAAATGTGGCTTGCGTGTTTGAGTATTTCGTAAATATTATATGTATGATCGGAATCAGATAAAGCATCTGCATGGGCAGATTCCACTATCCGGGTGTCACTAGCTCCACCTCCAGTTTCCAGAATTTGAATATAAGAGTATCTTACATTACGATAAATTTAGTATTGTATAGCTACGAATTTTCAATTTACCAACATTAGCCTTGATTTTCTAAATTAGGTCTAGACCTCCAGCCAAAAACCCTCGTAAACAAAATTTGTCTAATTGCATGGAAACCAAATCACAGAAAACCGGCCTAGCACCAAACTATAGTTATCTCCTAGTTGCAACCCGTGACTAGCTTGGTATTGCACAGGGGAATTTGTGGTAAATAATATAGAATTATTGATTACTATTTGAGTCATTTGACCCTGTCGATGTCACGTTAGTCGTTCAGAACTAAATAATTGCCTTTTTATCACAATAATCACACGTTTTTATTTCTTTAAAACAATGTTTTTTCACTGTTTTGATAAACATTTAGTTTTTCCTTATTTATTACCGTCGAGCGCATTCTAAGCTTAGCCAATCAGAATTCAGCACGCGACTTAAGCGAGCCAATAGCATTTCGTTATTTGTATAGATCATGATCGCGTGATATTTGCAAAATTTCGACTTCCAAATGCTTGGGGGAATAAAAATAAATGATATAATAACCTTAAGAATTCACGCGATTTCATTGGTCGAGAGCCATGATCTATTAGAGGACAGACGCACGGAATAACGTCATAAGTTTTTAAAATGTCGAAAATATTTGAAAATTCCACTGAATTTAAACAAATTGAATGAGTTCATGCAATCTAATCTTTAAACAGCAATAAATACCTTCGATAAATGTGCAAATATCACTCACAAAAGCTAGCAACTCGACAAATCTCAACTCAGTCATTCAGCTGCGACTTCAAAATCCAATCCGGTCTTCGAAAACAAATACCATTTCGGTCATTTGACCCTGTCAATGTCACATTTTCAAGCTGGTTTCTTCACTTCGTGCAACATAGGCATTGTTCAAGTGCCTTTCCAATTGCCATAGTCGCTCAGAACAAAATAATTGCCTTTTTATCACATGTTTTTATTTCTTTAAAACAATGTTTTTTCACTGTTTTGATAAATTTTTAGTTTTTCCTTATTTATTACAGTCAAGCGCATTCTAAGCTTAGCCAATCAGAATTGAGCACGTGACTTAAGCGAGTAAATAGCATCTCGTTATTTGTGTAGATCATGTACGCGTGATATTTGCAAAATTTCGACTTCCAAATGTTTGGGGGAATAAAAATAAACTGTTTACCTGTTTCCGCAATCTGCGCGTAAAAATCGTCACCCAGTTTTGAGCTCGCGATTCTTGAGCAGGGTTTTTGTGATAAGTATATCGAGCCACATCGCCATAAAAACCATAAACCCCTTAAAACTCGCCATAAAACTCGCCTGGGGGGTTCGTGGACACTTTTTTGTTCTTACCGCATATGAAGTCATACTGTGTATCTATAACTGAATAGACAACGGGAAAATGTAATCTATTTGATGCTTGTGATGTTACTCTGAGTGTATATCCACACCGGACAAGCTTGAAAAATATGCCTGACCACGGTGGGAATCGAACCTACGACCTTTGGAATTCTAGCCCAATGCTCTGCCAACTGAGCTACGCGGTCTGGTCGGTTCGAGTGTGTGATATTTCGGAACAGAATCTAGTTCCTTCACCAGAGTACATTGCACCAACACAGAAAAAATAATGATTAATAGATTACATTGATATCGAAGGAACTAGATTCTGTTCCGAAATATCACACACTCGAACCGACCAGACCGCGTAGTTCAGTTGGCAGAGCATTGGGCTAGCATTCCAAAGGTCGTAAGTTCGATTCCCACCGTGGTCAGGCATATTTTTCAAGCTTGCCCGGTGTGGATATACACTCAGAGTAACATCACAAGCATCATATTCACCTGAGTACATTGCACCAACACAGAAAAAATCATGTAATCTATTTGTTAAATATATTTATAATATAGCATTTGTAAATTCTGAACGCTGATTGGCTAAGAGCCGTGTTGATATAACTCAATGTCAACACGGGAAATTTTCCGCTTATCCTTCGGCTTTTGACATTGCTATATTATAAAAAAAATATAAAACATTTTTTCCGTATTGATATATAGTTATATCAACACTCGTGGAAGTTGGGAAAACTCGAAGTTGTATGAAAACACTCCGCCCTTCGGGCGTCGTGTTTCCATTCAATTTCTCGTTTTCCCAATTCCACTCGTGTTGATATAACTGTATATCAACACGGAAAATGTTTTATATTTGTTAAATTTAAATTATCTGTGCTTCACACGCAAAAATCTCATATCTTGTACCAAGTCCGCCAAAAAGCCGTCAACAAGTTGTGTTCGCACTGCTGTTGATAATAGCAGATATTTTGCAAGGTTGTTCCAACAAGTCCAATACAATCATGATATAACAATATTGTTACAACCTTGTAACGTTCTTGTTATATCACGACTGTATCAGACTTGTCAGAACAACCTTGTAACAGGACTGATGCCATCAATCTTGTTACAAACTTGAAGCAAGTTGTTGCACAAGTTGTTGCAAGTTGTTGGGAACAAACAGTGCGAACACAACTTGTCGACAGCTTGCGAACAGATTCGTAACAAGTTGTTTGTAGACCTTTGAAAACGTGTGCGTTTTCACGTGTGTACGGAAAATGGTGCGATAAGGCCAGCAAGCCTAGAAAAGTCAAGTTGATACAGAATGATTCTTACCAACACTTGTTTGATAATTACATTTTACAAATTATATTTTTCTCCTTCAAATTTCTAGAGTGTTGGCTGCCGTTCACAATTCACAAGATTTCGCTGACGCTTTTAATTGTCCTCTTAACAGCCCAATGAATCCCTACGAGAAGTGCGAGATTTGGTGATCATGAAGGGCGGTTCTAGTTTTGCTATTTAATGAAGTGGTTAATATTTTCTTAGTTGTTGATGTTCTTAAATTTACTCGTTTGAAACTAAAAGTTGGCAGTCTCTTTACAACTTTACAAAAATATACCATTCAGTTGTCATACATGTCCTTTATCACTTGTGTGACATAAGTTTTATAACTGCTTGTGCAATTTTCTGCAGTCTAAAGTTTCATGTTGTCTGCACATGTAGGAGACACAATTTATATGACTTATTTATATATTGTATTGGCATATGACTGTTGACATTGCTTTTTAGTCTTCAATATTTGAGCGAGTCATGCTTCAGAAATGACAATAAATTTTTATTACTCAACCCTTGAATTGTTTTCTTTTTCATTTTTCCGGCAACCTTTTGCTCACTCAAAATTTTGAGTTTATACCCAACCCTTTTCTCTTCGGTGCCACTCCGATCCATAATTTAAGAAGAATAATCGCAGTTCAAGTTAGAAATTTAAAACTTTATTCACAATGCATTGAAAATTTAAAATAAGACTACAAACGAATCACGACACGGTATCTAGGCGACAAGAAGCTACTTAATGAAACAAGTCTAATATCCAAGGTTCGGTGCGTGAATTTAAGTATAAAACTTAATACTTCAAACAGGCCAATAGTGTATATAAATGCAGAAGAGTTGGTTTTTGACTGCGTCCATTGCTGGCAAAACTATACATCACTTCTCTCTCCCTCCCTCCCCCATTGAAGGAGCCCCTGCTAATGTCAAGGTTTAAAATTAATACTATTATACAAAGATCTCAGATATCGATGGACATAATAAACGAATGTGACTTTTAAAAATACGCATTAAATATTCGGCGTATAAGTCTAAACAAACTAGCAGATTACTAAAATTTAGTCGTAATGTCCAGCAAATAGATTGCGCCCTTCGCGAGCTGGTATGGAACGAGGTGGAAAATGCGATGGATATTCTTGGAGATAACCTCTATTGCTGTGGTACTGCCTTTCCACATCAACATAAGGGCTTTCTTCGGTGTAAGGCTCTCGCTTGTGGTAAGGTAAAGCTTTGGTATAAGGTTCATTGCGGTAGTACGGGGGCTCTCGGTGGTATGGTCTATCGTGGACATATCTGGCTTGTTTGAGATAAGGGTCATTATCAAAGGTGCGCCTTTCTTCGATTCTGGTCATCATCATTGTATTTGGGTTTCCATAAGGTATCACATAAGGTGGGTATGTCATTCCATAGTGGTGACGATGTCCCTACAGCAAAATATTTGTATTTTTTAACACTTTCTAGAGAATATCAAGATAGGAAGTAATCTGTCTGAAGTAATGACCAATACCATCACAAGCAATAATTATCATCAATATCGTCAGTCTCATTAATAATACTGCATAATATCATTATAATCAATTTTATAAACTTAAAGTAATTAATAAGTAATAAACATATTAAAATGATAATCTTAACCATCATAATCACCATCATCATTGTCATCATGATCATTACCATCATCACTACCACAATGACCATCATCGTATCAGCAGCGTTATGATCATTATCATCATCATCAACAACATCATCATATGATCATCGTTACCTCACCATCATCATTATCACCATTATTAGCATTATTATTATTACCATCATCATGTGATATCAATATCACCATCCTATCACCAATATCATCAACATCATGTCACTATACCATAATTATATCTGCCACACTATCATATCACCTTGATTACCATCACCTCACCATCACCATCATGAAGAAAACTCTTTTCTATAGCTACACCAGAGGGGTAGTAGGCCTTTAAACCTAAACAGCCTTGCTTATTTATTATTCAATACATAACAATTAGCCTTTCAGTCCCAAAAGAGATCACAGTGCATTCTGGAATCGTTTGGAGGGACAAAATATGATGACAGGCGTCAAATATGTGAAAGAGTGGAAGTATCCACTATCAAATATCATGATCAACTTTTTAGACAACCAAAAATGAAATATCTCATTTTTACACTAAACATTTAATTTAAATGTGTGCTGCCATATTTCTTGTCCCTCCAACATGGGATGCGCGCGACTAGACCCAGGACTTTGGGAAATGGCTAATACATTTAATCAATCAACATACCCGATTTCCGCAGCAAGCCCCAGCGCAGCCTAGTATAGATCCCACGAAAGACAGTATCAACAAAAAAACATAGAGAATAGTTGCTGCAGCACTGGCATACCGAACACTTTCTACATCCGAGCAACTTGTGCCAACTACAAAGATGATAAATGATAATACAACACACAAATTTACACGAGCGTTTGAGTCAGGAGATGTAATATTTTAAATCCGACTGTCAAGACTGAACTAGATTTCAAGTCCGCGTAATTTGATCAAGTGCGCCCATTTGATCACTGGAATATGATCACTGGATCAAAATGCGAGGGTTTGAAATCTAGTCCAGCCCGACTTGGAGGATTTGAAATGATATCTCATACGAAAAATCACTACTTAAGGTGAGGTGAATTACACCCGTTTTCAAAATTACGCGACCTCCCTGAAAAATACTCTTACTTCAAATGTCAGTTTTATGTCACAAAAACTGCTAAAAATAGCAAACGTAAACAAACTGTCAAAAGGCATTTTAAACCGTATTTAATACCAAAACTGAACAAAAATGTGTGAGATAACTTAGGTATACACGCTAAAGCTCAATACAAACCATCACAACAGAAATATGTGCCGTGAATAACTTTTAAAGTTTGAAAAATAACTATTTATCCCGGAATTTAGCTGTCAGTATAAAACACGCGCGCTAGACTATAACGGTGATGTTATGATTTGGTTTGTGCTTAAATTTTGCAATAATTCTCACTAAAATATCTTGAAAATCATTGTAAGGCTGTTTATATAAAGCATACAAAGCATATACATCGACAAAGGAACCGCAAAACTCAAAGTTTAAACTTCGTGACCGAACGACATAAAACTGACATGTCAACTCGAGCATTTTCGTCCTTGGTCGCGTAATTTTGAAAACGGGTGTAATGGTTTATAAACTCTATAGAACACTTTTCAGTTTTGTTTCAAGCCTCTTTGCTTTTTATAAAATTGGGCTGAAAGCAACGAAATCTACGTCGACACGGAATCAAAACAATGATATCAAACAAAACAGGAGTAAGAAAATAAGCAGAGATCAATCCAGCTGGCAAATGATTGCAATTGGGAGTGGCCCCTTCTTTCCCTTTCTAGGCCGTATTCCCTGGCCCCAAAAGTCGCTTAGAAAACGATTTTTGTTGCCCCCCTTCGGGCACTACTTTAAATTTACATGAATCTATAGATTTTTATACGCTGAGTTCGAATTCACTTGTTGTCACTCGCACAAACCGGCAGTTTTTTTGTATTTTACGATCAAACATCAACATTTTTTATTAACATTTCCGCCATTTTGTTCAGGAAACTTCATGTTATATACAGTTATTGTACTAGTTCAAGTCTCTTAGCAGGGGGGTTGCACGCGGTATTACGCATTTTTATCATTCTTCTGAGGAAAATATACAGAAATAAATAAAAATATAGATATGTTTCCACAATATTAAAGTGCGAAAGGTAATAATACATGTTTGTAAATAATCAGGAACTAATCTACTGTTCTTGTCATCCATAAAGACTCACTTGTCCTTGGTAAAGTTGTTTATTTTATTTATTATTGAAATTATGTACATAATTTTAGCCTTGCAATATGAATAGGCAATTTTCCTGGGTATTGTCTACCTGAAATTTTTGTCAACAATAAAGTTTTGAAGGTTTTATCCCTCAGAGAGATTTCAAAATAAATTTTAACTTTGAAACTTTCTAATCTCCTAGGCGAGCCAGCCCAGGTAACCCGAGTTGATTTCATCCCGTGTTTACAAGAGACTTTTGAGGCGGGCTGGTTCGCCAAAACAGATCACTGTTATAAATAGTATAATATAATATTTTCTACTTCTCAAGATCTTGCCTTGACAGGCCAGCCCAGTTCCATATAAATGCAAGATGAATATTAGTTTAAATTACATAGCGACGTTAGATCTTGGCAAAGCGAGCTAGCTCGGGTACTCCCTAAGGAAATGAAGAAATGTTATTTACATCAATAGATTGATGTGAATAGAGTATTATTTAATGCCCAGCTGTTATCCAAGATCTAAGACATGGAAAAAAAGAGTCTTGGCTAGGCAGCTAGGCTAGCCCAACTGGAAAGAAGGTTTGTGTAACTAATGCATATTGGTAGGTATAGTGATCCCAGATTACTTTAATTAAATTTCTAGTGCCTGCCTGGCCAAATATAAATTAATAAAGTATCCCTCCTCCAAGTGCTTGGTAATGAGTGGCAGCTCAAATAGGATTAGAGCTTATTAAGGTGAGGATGTATCATGACAATATGTTGTTAAACCTCATTATGGCTCAACCAATTCAAATGGCTCAACCAATTCAAATGGCTCGACCAATTCATGTCTCTAGGTGGCATGACTTTGAGATTTGCTTGTGTGAATATAATTTTTTGCTTAGTACCTTTGTTCCAGCAAGCCCATGCATATGCTTGCCTCAACAGTGTCACATAAATTGAAACACCAAGCAAGCTATTGTAGCTGTAATCAATTGGGGCTATGTCCTGTATGGCCACCATTTGCTAATGTAAATACTTTAATAAAGTGATTAATTAAAAAAATATGGCTAATCTAGGCTGGGTTAACTCCATATAAACAGACCAAAAGTAAGCTGTCAGTCTGTCTTAG